AAAAATATTAGCATTCTTACTTTCGAAAAGGGATAATTTTGTCTCGCAAAAAGTGGGGGTCTGTTAATAGAAGCACCTTCAGCAAAGGTTTGGTTTTGTCCAGCCATTTTCAAAATTTTTGAAGAACTATCAAAGCAAGCTCTGATACCACTTGTTAGAATCGCACAATGGAATGTTTGCGGTTGCGGACGAAACCAAGAGGGGGGGTGAATTGGTGGTTTTTAAATATTTTCTCAAATTTCACCGATTAAAATGCTTGTAAAGTAAAGAGATAAGGGAAAGAAGATTACACAGTTAATTTATACTGGTTAGGATTAAAAGACCCTACGTCTAGTTGTTAATCACTCTAAAAGAGGATTAATGCAGTCATTATAGTCACAGTTACAACAAATTACAAATTGAACAAAGATAAGGATTAGAAAACACCTCTCTTGAGTCACATAATAGATGAACACCTCCTTTGAAACCACAAAGGATGACAACAGTTTTTCCTAGAGATGGCACAATACACAATCCACCAAGAAACCCACTCAGTGATTCTTATCGCTTCTAGCCCACACTAGGTTTCAAAAGCCCCTTTTTCTTCCCTACACAAAGTTCTCTAACAATCACATCTCTTAACTTTTGTATGAAAAAGGTTTGTTATTTTGCAGAGAGCCTTAAAGAACCTTAAGTAGAGATATTAGGGTCTGGGGAATAGAAGATTTCGAAAATAGAGGAATTGGAAATAGGTGTTTCGAAAATTGGTCCAAATTCGAAATTCAAAACTCATAACAGACGTAGATAATCAATTATCTTAAGTGATAATCGATTATCACAGAACCATTTTCACAAAGGAGTAAACTAGACCAAGATAATCGATTATTTGGGTAGATAATCGATTATTTCAGCTGGGATAATCAATTATCAACCCAGATAATTCATTATTCCAGCAAGGTTTTCAGAAAATAGATTTCAATGCAGGATAATCGATTATCCTGAGTGATAATTGATTATCACAGAGTGGTTTTGATAAAAATGAACTTTTAAAGGATGGACTATGTGTTGGCTATCTTGGACTCTAATTTTTACAGACTAAACAAGACAAAACAGAGTTATTACAGGTAAATACAGATGATTATAAGTCTTCAAGTCTTTAAGTCCTTTGTTCTTGAATCATCATCAAAATCTTCAAGCATCATATCCTTGTATATGAAAGTGATGAAGATCTTATTGAATCATTTGATAAAACAAAGATCTTGTTAATTTGATGAAGTCAAAGGCTAATCTGATGAAGTCAAAGGTTACTTGGGTTAAAAGGGTAGAGTGATTAGTGAGTTTGCATCTATACATAGGTATAATCATTCATATCTCTCTGCTGCATGATGTTTCATCATTTGAAAGAATTTGAAAATGTCTCTAAAGATGTTTTCAATCCATTAAAAACCAAAGTAATCGGTTAAATTGTTTTTAGGAAATTGTTTTAACTTATATTATATGTGCTTTATCAATTAAAATGTTCTTTAAACTTACATAACAGATTTTTAATCGATAGGTTTTCGAAATAATCGATTAAAACTTTTTAAAACATTCACTGGAACTGTTTTAATTGATACACTTTCGAATTAATCAATTATTTTCATTAAAGTAGTTTTTGAAAACCTTCGTCGACGTTTTAACTGATATAGTTTCGAAATAATCGATTAAAATCACTTAAAATATTTTGGAAAGTGTTCTGACAGTATTTTAATCGATACAAACTCGAAAGAATCGATTAAAATAACTTGAAGTGTTTTGAAAGATGTTCGTCAAGTATTTTAATCGATGTATATTCGAAATAATCGATTAAAACAACTTGAAATATTTTGAAAGGTGTTCTGTCAAATTTTAATCGATGTAAAATTGAATTAATCAATTAAAACAACTTAAGGAACTTTTTGATAACTATTTTAATCGATTAAAACTTGTTGTTATCAGTTAAAATCACTTAAAAAGTTTTGTGAAAGTTTTTGCAGAATATTAATCGATTAAACTGCGAAATAATCAATTAAAACAAATTAAGGGACTTTTTGTTAATTGTTTTAATCGATTAAAACACTCGTCTCATCAGTTAAAATAAATCTAGAATATAATCAAGAACATTTTAACATATTAAAATATTGTTTTAGCAGATTAATTAAACCAGCAGTTGAAATAAATCTCAATATAAACATATTTGATTCAACATTTTAAAATACACTTTTGAGCAATCAATCAAGCAATCATAAGAGCTATTTTCAAGAAAGAATCGCGCATGTTTGGTGAAGTTTTTCATAGTTCTTTCTTGAGGCAATTTTTGCATTCTTTTTGTGAAGAAACTAATTCTGTACAGCTACATAATCCGGGTTTGATTGTTCTAGTTTCTTCTCTTTGTTTCTTTACATTTCTTTAATGTATTGTGGGTGTCTAGAATTGTTGGGAATTGCTTCTGTAGCTGGAATTTGGCTGCAGGTTGGTACAAGAACTGGAACTCGGTTCTTGGGTGGCGTGTGTCTGGAATTATTAGGCACTTCTGTAGCTAGAATTTGGCTGCAGGTTGATATAAGAACTGAAACTTGGTTCTTGGGTGGTGTGTGTCTAGAATTGTTGGGCACTAGTTCTGTAGCTGGAATTTGGCTGTAGGTTGGTTCAAGAACTGGAATTTGGTTCTTGGTGAAGGTTTGGGTGCAAGATCTGGAATTTGGGTCTTGTGGTAGATTGGGTGTGTGATTGGAATCTCTAATCTGTAAAACATTCAATCTAGTGGAACTCAGCTGGAATTTGGCTTGAGAACTGGACGTAGCCCTGGGATTGGGTGAACCAGTATAAATCTATAAATCTTGGTTGTATCTCTTTAAACCTTTCTCTCTTTAATTCTGTTGCTGCCTTTATTTTGATTGTTTGTTTTGTTTGATTCAAGAATTGATCAGAACTCTTAATCTTTGAAATAGATAATCTGTAAATTGCAAAAATCTTTCAAAGATCAATTCACCCCCCTTATTGATCTCAACCTCTTTTTCTAACAGTATAGTCAACATTCTCAACTACCAACTTCTTAAAAGAGCATAGACCATGACGAAAGGGATGATTGATAGGCAAAAATCGACGATGACAATCAAACCAACAAGGTTTACCACCATTCTTCAATCTAAATGATTTAATATCCCCCATACAATGTGGACAAGCTAATCTCCCATGATTACTCCATCCAGACAATATTCCATAAGCTAGAAAATCACTTATTGTCCACATTAGAGTTGCTTTTATAATGAAATTCTGCCTTTTCAATGCATCGAAAGTGTTAACCCCAATGTTCCATAAGATTTTCAACTCATCAATAAGAGGTTCCAAATAAATATATAAATTTTTACCAGGTGACTTGGGTCCATGAATCACAAGAGTAAGAAATATGAATTCCCTTTTCATATACATACTTGGAGGAAGATTGTAAAGTGTGACAAAAATAGGCCAACATGAATATGGGTTACCTGAATTACTAAATGGATTAAAACCCTGTGCAAAGTCAAAGTCTAACCTTTCTTGGATCTTGATCAAATGTAGGATGTGTTTCATTGAATATTTTCCAAGCTTGTGCATCAACTAGATGTGTCATCATTGATTCATCTTGGCACACTCCATCTGCATGCCAACGCATATATTTTGAAGTATGAATAGACATAAATAGGCGTTGGAGTATTAGAACAATGGGGAAATATCTCAACACTGAGTAAGGCACATCTTTAATTTTTGAAGATGTCTTCGGTTTAAATCGTGGTTCTTTACACACCAAGCAAGCATTCTTATCACTATTTTATTTGTAATATAGCATGAAATTATTAGGACATGCATCTATCTTTTCATATCCTAATCCCAACTCATTAACTATTCTCTTCGATCTATACAAATTTTCAGGCAACCTTTCTGAATCTGGAGCCATGCTTTTGATTATAGCAATCATTCAATCATAATAATTAACACTCATGTTAAACTCTGACTTCTGGTTTAACAGTTGTGTTACGGCTGATAACTTTGTATGTTTCTTACAACCATCCCATAAAGGTTTATTAGCATCCTTTAATAAGTTAAAAAACTTCTTAGCTGATGGATTTGGGCCCTCTTGCACCTCTTCTTTTTTTGGATTTAATCTAACATAAGCAACATCCATAACCATATCAACATATGGACTTCTATTATCCTCATTATGTTCTTGAAAGAGAGAAGTTGATACATCATCGATCCATCTTTCCTCACCATGAAGGATCCAATTTGTGTAACCATCCATAAATCCATGGTGATACAAATGCTTTTCCACATTAAATGATACATCCCAATAATGATTCCTACATTTTCCACATGGGCAAGGAATACGCCCTACTACATCAGCAAATTTTGGGTCTCTTGTCGCTATTTGAATAAAACCATAAACACCATTTATGAATTCTTCAGTTATAATGTCGAGTTGATTATTTCTTTGTAACATCCATCTTCGATATGGTCTCATTAAAAAAATTAAAAAAGTTATGTTTTCAAGAAAATAAATTATTAAGTTTAACATCAACACATGTTACAAACTTAAATTCTAATAATCTTTAGAATAAATTCTAATGTTGGATTATGTTTAATTCATCAACATGCTCACATTGTCAACCTCTCTCTATCAAGCTTTTATTATGACCATGATGTGAAATATTGTAAGCCTAACAAAGTGAACCCATGGTAACAAAAACTCAATAAAATCTTAATTAAATTAACTACATTTAAGAAAATACAAATTAAGAAGATATTGTATGAGATAAATATTGTACCTGTCACTGGTGTTTTTAAATTTGTAATTTCACTTCTGTCGAAGTTAAGAAGCCAAGTTGAGTTAATAATATGGACTATATCTCAAGACCTGATCTCCTGGAAAAAGAAAAATATGAATAGAATTACATTAAATAATTATAGTCATAATTTTTATTGTTGATGTGTAGGTTCTATTTATTCACAAATATAGTGGTGGAATGACTCTTGATTCTACAATCCCCATCACTCTGAGTAATTTCCTATCAGCTGCTACTATGACCTATGCTCAACACTTAACACATGGGCTTCCAGAACCACCAATCCATCTGTTGTATCCTAGCATTGTGATGTTTGTGGTGGGCATCATTGGCAACTTCTACCACCACTACCTTTTGTCCAACTTGAGGGAAAAGGGTGAAAATGAGTACAAGATTCCAAAGGGTGGCTTGTTGGAGTTTGTGATATGCCCCCTGTAGACCCCAAATCTTGCCTGGCTTGACAATAAAGCCAGAAGACCTCCTTTAGGCCCTTAGGCATGTTTACTAGTCTCCATGTAAGGATAGGAGGGCTTTTCATATAGAAAAAATAGGAAAATTCTGATAGGACGCCCTAGACGGTCGTCTCGGTTTCCCGAATGGCCGTCTCATTTTCCCAAACGGCCGTCTCACTTTTCCCTTGAGGCGAGACTACCGTCTCGTTTTTCGAGATGGTCGTCTCAAAATCCTAGACGGCCGTTCAGAAGGCCAGATGCCCGTCCCAGCCTGCTTGGTGTGAAATCCTATAAATAGGGACCTTCCCTCCCTCAATTTCACATAGTTTTTCACCCCTTCTCTCATCCTAGAAGCTCTCTTAAGATTGCGGGATAACTTTGAGCACTTTCTAGAGTTCGAGAGCCTTCCGATTTTCGTTTAAAGTAGAAATTGGTTAAGGAGGTCTCCTTTTGAGATATTCGGCACTCGGTAGAAGGGTAGTTTATTTTATTGCGGGAGAGGAGCGTGCTTATAGAGTGCGAGGATAACCAAAAAGCTTCCTCAAGTTTTGAAAAGTTAATAAAAAATCTCGCTTCGGAGGTTCTTTTCCTTATTCTCTCTCTTTTACTGCTTTTCTTTATCGCTTTCCTTGTATGCATTAGATATTAGGGTCATCTAGACATTTAAATTCTGCAAATAGATAAATAAATAGGGTAAAAGTATAATTTCTTAGTCTTTATCTTATAAACTAGTCTATCATAGGGAACTCGACAGGGGCATTGTGGGGTGCTAACACCTTTCCCACACGTAACTAACTCTCTTACCCAACTCTGGTTATAACGGCCAAAGTTGGTTTTCTAAAACCAATGCCTTTTTTCCTTATTCAATGTTTATGGTAAAAGCATCGGTGACGACTCCATCGAACCTTTTCAAAAACTTCGCCTTTAGGTCCAGCCCGGTGGACAACCTAAAGGCGTTGAACATCCTCTTTAAAAAACACGAGTCAAACAAAACCATCGCATCACTTCGATTGCCTCTTTTGACGGTGGCGATAAATGGCGACTCCACTGGGGAAGCTAGAGAGTTGATCTCATTTAGTGATGAGCTAGTTTAAGAAATAAAAACTTGAAATTACGCTTTTACCCTTTCTTACTTTTATAACATGATTTATTGCTTGGGTTTAATAATTGTTGTATGCTTACTTTATGTAATTGTTTGAAATAACAACTGTACACACACCCTTGCACACAACAGTTCCCCCTATACCCGGGGGCAAGTGGGATAACCTTAGGGAGTGGGTGACATTGTACAATTTGTCGTAGTAAGGGTCATGAGCCCACCGGTATGGTCGGAAACCACCACTCAAGGTGATAACCTTCCTCTTTTGGCCTAAAGACTGACAAGGCCCTAGTGCCATGCATGGTCTGAAGGCTGGGAGAATGGGGACCCTCTAATGGGGGCACCTTGGGGGCCTGACCTTGGTGAGGATAATTAGAACTGAAAGTGATCCTAGCAAAGATCTCAGTGATTTGATGAAGTCAAAGATAAAGTCAAGGGTCAACTCTGCAGCTGTCAAACAAGTCACTCAGAACAAAGGAGCTGAAGACTTAGTGTGTCTTAACAGAAAGCTTAGGTAAAACCACTTTACCTTTTCCACTGCATAAAGCTTCTTCACTCAATTTGCAAAATGCCTCAAAAATAGTTTTAAACAAATAAAAAAACAAAAGCATTTTGGCAAAGAATTTTCTTAAACAAGTTATTAACTGATAAAGGTTTGAAAGAATCAATTTAAAACACTTAGAATGTTTTAAAAAGTGTTTTTACAATATTTTAATCGATACAAACTTCTTTTAATCGATTAAAACTCTTTATGACCGATTAGAATTCGAATGTAATAGGTCAGAATGCAATATAATCGATCAGATCTTAAATATGAGCGATTAGAATTATTTTAATCGATTAAAACACGTTTCAATCGATTAAAATCACTTTGGATGTCAGTATGATCGATCAGAATGAGATTATGACCGATCAGAGTTGGTTATGATCGATCAGAATTGAATTATGACCGATCAGACTTATTTCAATCGATTAAAACGCATTTCAATCGATTAAAATAACTTAGAAAATCTTTTCAATCGATTAAAACGAACTTTCAATCGATTAAAATGACTTGAAAATATATGTGCAGATTTTCAATCGATTGAAACGACTTTATATCAGCTAAAATAACTTGGAAAGTTTTATAAAGAGGTTTTTAAACAAATCAATCGATTAATACGTGATTCAATCGATTGTTTTATACTTAGAAAATGTTTGTAAAACGTTTTAACTGATAAAAACGTGGTCGTATCAACTAAAACATTTTCTGTTAAAGATCAAGAACGCATTAATGGGTTGAAAGGACTTTTAACAGATTGTAACGGCTATTTCAACAGATTAAAACAAACTTTCAACAGATTAATTAATGCAGCAGATTTGAAAATACTCTTTTATAAACAGAATTGCTTGGAACTTTTAACATATCAGTTTTTACACAATTCAAGCAATCAATACAAGCAACTATTAGCATTTTTCAAGAAAGATACACAACTGTTTTTGTGAACTTCTTTTGAAATCTTTCTTGAGGCACTTTGCATTTCTTTGAAGAAGAAACTGACTGTGGATTGGTGTAATCCGGTTTGAGCTTTCTTTGTTTCTTCTTTTCAATTTCTATTCATTCATTTGTACTTGTTTTGTACCTGGAATTTGGGTACAAGTTTTCTGCAGCTGTTGTAGAAAGTTGCCAAGAACTGGAATTTGGTTCTTGGTGGAAAGGTTAAAGCAAGAGCTGGAATTTGGTTCTTGTGTGTGGTGCCTGGAATTTGGGCACTGGTTTCTCTGCGGCTGGAATTTGGTTGCAGAGGTTTCCAAGAGCTGGAATTTGGTTCTTGGTGGAGAGTTAGAATAGGTGTAAGAGGGTGAGTCTGTAAAACATCTATTCTAGTGGAACCCAGCTGGAATTTGGCTGGAGTCTGGACGTAGCCCTGGTATTGGGTGAACCAGTATAAAATTACCGGTGAAATCTTTCCTAACCTTTCTCTCTTTAATTTCTGCTGCTGCACTTAAACTGTTTGATTGCATTGTAATTTGTGAATTCATAAGTAATCTTAATTTTCGAATTAGATAATCTGTGTATTGCGAAAAACTTTCAAAAATCAATTCACCCCCCCTCTTGATTTAAAACTACTTTTCTAACAATTGGCATCAGAGCGAGGTGCTTGAAAGTTAATCAAGTTACTTCGATCCATGGCATTTTCTGAGGGAGCGTGCATTGATAGACCTCCACTGTTAAGTGGAACAGATTACCTATATTGGAAAATAAGGATGAAAATCTTCATTGAATCTGTTAGTATAAATGCTTGGAATGTTATTGAACAGGAAATTGATATTGCTAACAGAATTCAAGATGATTGTATTGCCAAGAACATCATCTTATCCGCCCTTAACAAAAATGATCTTTTCAGGATTGCACATTGCCAAACAGCTGCACAAATGTGGAAGATTCTTGAAAAGACCTATGAAGAAGCACCAGAAATATGCTTGATGGTCAACTCAGAATCACCAAATACCAGTGTAAGTTCTGAATCTATGAACTATAGCTCATTACAAGATGCTTTTCTTGAAATACATGCAGTAGCAAAGAAATTAGAAACTGAAAATAGAAAATTGAAAAGCATGAATAGGCTTTTAGAAAACAAGATCATTCTTCTTGAAAAGAAAATAACTGATGAAGAAACTAAGTTAGAATTAGAGAATGATACTGATTGCATGTGTAATATTAAAGATTGCAAAAACTGTCCTGAGTTACAGAAACAAGTATCATATCTAGTAAAAACCTCATCTAAATTGGCACAAGGAAAAAATAATCTTGATAAGATACTTAATTCCCAAAAATTAGTTATTGAACGTGGTGGCATAGGTTATACACCATCTATTGGAAAGAAAACAAGAGCATTCAAAAATTATTTTGCATATAGTAAAACAGTTTCATCTCCATTTATCAAATGTTTTTACTGCATGAAGAAAGGGCATTCTGTTAAATATTGCAGAATCAAAAAGTATGCCATTCCTAAAGGAAGAATGAAATGGGTTCCAAAGATTAATTCTTTTCAAATAACATGATCAGGACCCAATAATTATAAAGGGTACCAGAAAAATACTTAATTGTTTTGCAGGAACAAGTCTGGGAATCCCTTGAAGATCAGAGCTGCGAAACCAGGTTCTGTGTATTTAAATTAATTGTTTTAATTGATATAAATCAATATTAATCGATTAAAATAACTTACTGATATCTGTCCGTACGATTTTAATCGATTGAAATATCGAAATAATCGATTGAACTGATCTCAGGATGTTGGTTTAGTCGTTTTAATCGATTAGAATAAATTTATATCAACTAAAAACACTTAGGTATCAAAATTAATCGATTCATTTACGTTTTAATCGATTTAAATTCTGGTGTCATGTTATTGATTTCATTCTGTATTAAACTAATCGATCCTTTTATAAAACAAATCGATTAATTCACTGTAGATGTTTTCAACTCTAATGACAAGAATCAAATTAATAGATAATGAGTTGATTAATCAATTGATTAGGATCTGTAAACAAGACTTATAACATCTAATTGAAGTTTGACAGGGAAATTCAAAACAAAAACTCAGTGTCTATTATCTGCAATAAATCTTTAAAGATTTCTTTGACCAAATCAACATTATTCCCAAGAACAAATTAACTGATTCACCCACTGTCCTGTAAATTGTGTCGCACATGCTGAACAGATCTTTAATTAGAAACTAAGACTAGTGGAATAAATGTGGGAAAGTTATTGCCGATTGAAATACTGCAAACTTTACATGTAGGAAAGTTATCCATAGATGAAAATGTTATTTTAACATAGTCATGATTCAAGCTGTAGATGTCCTTACATGGAATGCTGCATGGTAATACACTGAAAATCAAAG